CCCCAAAACCCCAAAACCCCAAAACCCCACTGAAAGTTCAAGTAATAACAGATAAGAATAAAATTTAAGAATTAATAATTCTCAAATTATTTAAAATGAGTTCGTGGTCAGCTATTTTTAAAATTGCAACTTTCACTCTTTTATACTCAGTTGCTTAATGTGGTTATCTGTAAACAGCAATGGATTTAGTTTCAAGAGCCTATGAACTACCATAAATGCAGATTTCTAACGAACTAGATACTAAGTTTGATTAGACAGTGCAGATATTACTCAATCCAAAGAGGAAAATTCTAGTTTAAGAGCCAAGTGGTAAACACAGAGTGCAGTGCTCATCTGAGTGGGTAATTTATAGAGAAGGCCAAACTCCCTAATTTAAGACAGAGGCAAAAGATTTTCAAGTGTTCCTTGATCTTTTCAGAGTGAATGAAGATGATTAAGATGAGGAGACTATTAATAGAAAAGTTAGAAATAGCAAAAATAACTTGTTTGTACAACAGGAATTAGGACCAAATGTTGACGAAGTATTGATTTTATTCGATTAAATTGCAGCAGGTGCAAGGCTTGCTACTACTGTTAGCAATTATTAGCCTTGTAGAGATTCTGTAACTCCAGCGGTTAATAATTGGTGGTACTATTTAAACTATCAAGAATAGGTTAAATTAGGATAATAAAAATAACTTGGCTTTTGGGCATACACTGATAACATAACCATGACCATTTCAAATTCAGCTGATTTAGTTAACAAGTGCACTTATTCAGGGTAAACAACTTTTGCGAGTCTTGCAACTTACTTCACAAAATTTACTGGATTCGGCAACTACATTCTCTCATTTGTTATGAATCTTGTATCAAACACCTAGAATCTCATTAACGTGATGAATTCGATTACAGCTGCAGACACAAACTGTGATTTGCTAAAACTATATAATGATATTGGAAAAATCATTAGATATGTAACAAAAGTAGACCCTGTTTCAGCTAGTTCCTTTGATGATACTTCTTTCCTATCTAAACTTGATAACAAAGCCATAGCCTAATATGCTGATAGAATTATTTAACTTAACCAAAAGTTTAGTGACATGACATCAGATCTTTCAAGTTTCCTATCTAATTAAGAAGAGTTATAATAATTGAAGTTCTACACTTTTGAGTAACTTTATGAAGAAAATTTTAACTAGAAACATTTGACATAAAAAAGATTATAAAAAGAAGAAATACTGAGAGCTAAATATGGTATGATAGATAGAAGGTAATAAATCTAGAAATTTAATTCTATTCCTACAGTGTAAGATACAAAATTCCTAACAAAAGCTTACTAATATACAAATATGACATATGGCTTTTTAAATGGAACTGGCTTATTTGGATCAGCAAATACTACCCAATGTCAAGCTAACTAGATTAGGTATCTTTAACTATTACTAGACAAAATTCCTCTGAGCTTGATTGGTGGAAAACCCTGGGATCTCATTTATGGTTTAAGTGAATTAATGGCTAAGCTATTTCCATTGTAAAGTACATGTAGATTTGGCTATGATGATCAAGTAAAGTAGGTAAAAAAATATCTAGCAGGTTATTAAAATTGGTGGGATTTCTTAGATACCTTTTCTTTCAACTTTGGCTTGTTTTATGATAGTATCGTGACGGCCTTCACTTCAGTGACTAATTTAAACTATTTTATGTCAGGCTACTCAGTCGGGCGCACTATATATCTATTGTTTTTTATGGCATGAACAAAGCTTCGAAACAAATCAATCATAATCTGTATAAATTATGATGTAATTTTAAGTTTTATCATTTATTTTTACTCTATATTAAAGAAATTTGACTTCAAATGGGGTTTTGGGGTTTTGGGGTTTTGGGG